CCCCCCGCGGGCAGGGCAGTGTGCCCCCCCCCGGGCCCCCAGCCAGCGGAAGCAGCCGGGGCTACTGACCCCCAGCACTCCTCTCCCTGCAGAAGCACCCCGTGCCAGGCAGCTGGTGCCTGGAGGAGACACGGCGGCTCTTTCTGCAGCCGGAGGTGACGGACCCAGGCCGGGTGGTGCTGGAGTGGAAGGAGCCTGACGAGGAGGGCTTGGTGCGCTTCCTCGCGCACGAGAAGTGCATGAAGTGAGTGAGCGAGCGAGGAGGGGGCCTGGCTTAAGGGCGTTGGTGCCTGCTTCTTGGCTCAGGGGAAGAGTCCTCTGGCTTGGAAAAGAAAGGCCGGGGCGGGCGGGTCGTGGTAAAGCCCCTCTGGATGCCGGGCTCCCTCGCCTGCCACCCCAGCGGGATGGGAGCTGTAGTCGCGCGTCAATGGAGGGCACAGTTTTGGGGAAGAGGAGGCATCCCCAGCTCCAAGCCCGAAGGCTCAGAGGCACACTGGGAGATGGAGAGGAGAGGAGAGGAGGCGGCAGGGATCTGCTTCGCATGCTGCGGGCGAGAAGAGGAACGCTGGGGGCAGAATTTGGGCACAATGCATCTCCTCCTGCCAGCCGCTCTGAGTAAGCAAGCTGGCCCCTGGCACCTCCCTTCTCTGGAAAGGCCAGGGACCCTGCTCTGCTTGCAGCCCGGCCCCGGGGGCCACAGAGGCCTCTTTTCCCCCATTCCAGGGCAGGCAGTGGAAAGGTGGGCTGAAAGGGGTGGGGGGCGGATCCTGCTGGAATGCAGAGAGGAGCCCCGTTCAAGAAGGGAGCCAAAGGCGCGGGGGGGGCCTTCCCCAGAAGAGCCACGGGGGGGCCTGGCATTAGATTCTGGCCCTGAGCAGGGACCCTCCCGGCGGTGGGATTCTCGGTCGGTTGCTGCCAGTCACGGTAGAGGTGGCATTAAGAAAGGTGAAGCAGATTCACAGAGGAGGGCAGGCTGCACGGACAGCTCATGGCGATGGCTTTGTGCATTCTCCGTGTTCAGAGATGCAGCTCCTGTGGATGAATGACTTGCAGCAGGATAAGGAAGAGCAGGGCCTGCCTCCTCCTCCTTCAGGCCCTGCTGATGAACCGCTGTGAGAACATTGCAGTCAGGCTGGGGAAAGTCCTTGCAGCTCTAGGGCCGCCCGCTCCCGCCTGGGGCTGCGTGAATGAGGCCGGAGCTCGCTTGCATCCATACAGACACATCAGGGTCCAGCTGGTCTGGCTTCTGGAGCTGCCCTTGGTGAGCTTCCTCCATTGGCTGCATCACACAGTGGCGTGCTGAGCATTGCGAGGCGCAAGTTTTGAAATCCGTCTCTCTCAGACCCACAGAAGCTTGTTTGGTGTTCCTCAGCCAAACACCAAGGAGGAGGAAAGGGCTCAGGGAGAACATGGCCTGTGGGGGCAGATCGTGCAGGCCATATTTATAGGGACCCCCTTCACCCACCTAGACGTGACTGAAATGACCCGAGCGCGGCTCTTCTTCCTGGTTTGGAGATGACTCCACACCCAGGTCCTCCATGCCTTTCCATCCAACCCAGGCGTATTCAGGGCTTCCTCGGGGTCACTTGCTGCAGGTGGGTCTTCCAGGTGGGGGAAGGCCACCTGTCCCGCCTCTCCCTCCTCCTCTGGCAATCTTCACCTCGGCCCCTCTTCCGCAGAGAGAGCCGAATTCGGGGTCGAATGAAGAAGTGGCGGGACACCTGCCTGAAGCTCAGCGAGCCCCAATGTTCAGCCTCCAGGAAAAAGGGCAGACCGAGGAAGGCACAACAGACAGTGACGGGTTTCTTCCCAGTGCAGAAACGTCCAAACAAGGTGAGAAAGAGGAACGGTGTCCTCCCCTGCCCCTGCCCCTCCCCATCCCAGGGAGACAGAGGCAGGGCTGTGAGAGAGGGGAGGGCCTGTGGCTGGCTGCGCCTCCCCAGCAAAGGGGCCGTGCGCCATGCTCAGCAGCTCAGAGCGGGGTCGTAGCAGAGACAGCGGGAAGGAGCACGCTCTGGGCTAGGCCTCTGTCGGGCAGTGGGATCTCACACCTTCCCTCCGGGAAAAGACCGGATTGTCTGCAGTTCTTTATCTGGTGGGAAAGCCGGTTGAGGGAGACGTGGCCCCAGGGGACAACTTTGAAAGTGTATTGGACAAATTCATGAAAGGCACTTGAAGGGCGAGCTTTGGGTTGCAAGCTGCGTGCCTCCAAATAGCCACAGGAGAGGTGACATCTCCCTCTTCTTCTTCTTGCAAGCATCCAGAGGCATCTGGTTGGCCGCTGGGAGAAACAAAATGCCTTGGCCTGATCCAGCTGGAGTATTTTTACATTCACATTCTTACTGTCACAAAGCAATGATCTGGCCCTAGCTTGAGATTAAAAAACAAACAAAAACTTGTTTTTAAGCTAGGTAACTCATGGGACATTTGTCAGGTCTGCAGGAAAATGTTGCTGCAGGGATCTTCTGCTCAGGGTTCCAGCACATCATCCCTTTCTCCATTTACTTCCCACTTGG